TTTGCACGCGACCCGGGTCAGTCTTTATGACTTTAGAGTCCCCGACTGCAACCAGCCAGGCCAAGTACGGCCGCATTAAGTCCCGTTGGCGACTATACCCCATGAGGTAGTATCCATGGTTGAATGCAAAACGTTATTTGTTGAGGTGACAAAGTCCTGGCCGGCTAATGTTTTAGCATCTCGTCCTACGTGTGTCAAATGTCTCCTAGCGACCACTCCTCACAACGAGCACTTGGTCGAGCATTTTCCGTTGGCGGAACTATAAGTGTCTCCGTGCTGTTCTCTAGAGAAAGCGGAATCGAAAGGCGATGATGGTAACAATTAGGACGTGTTCGGCGCGGGTCTACAAAATAATAGGTCAGTTAACAGTGTACTAGAATATTCATTTCCAGCATTGTCATGCTCTGTGCTTACTTAAGCGTTGTACCACCGGAGAAAATCCATTTTGCACACCGGATGTTTGCGCGAGGAGCTTTGTAGGTCTCTTACAAGTCGTTGTTCGATACTGTCGAGATAAAAGCGCTAGAAATGGTGACGAGTCCTTTCTGGCGGAGCGAAACCCTTGCCGTTATTTATCACATGTAAGCTAAAATTGAGAAGCTTGGTGCGGGTTGTAAAGACAATTTCAGCATGTGGTGGCTCCAGAAACATGATTAAATTAACTTTGACCACGTTCAGTTCTCAGAATTTTAAGGTGCGGGTCATATTCAGACGTGTTAGATCTTGTGCGATAGGAAGTGTTCTTCGTCATGCTCCGTCGGCCTCCGTTTCCTGTGCCACAACCATATATGGGCAGAGGAACTACGTGGCTAGAGCGTCCAGGAACGAGCTAATTGACCGCAAAGCTATCATGCCAAACAAACATCACGGACGATGAAATCGCGCCACTGAGCGAACTGGATGCGGGAGAGCATGCCATTTTCAGGTCTAGCAGGGCCCTCTGGGACGGATGTTAAATTTCCTAATTCTGACTGCCTAAGAAATCGATTCCTCCATTTTTCCCCTCTTTCATACATTGCGCATTTTCGCTTGTACTCTAAAGATAACTGACATCCCAAATTTACAAAGTGAGGGATATTACACTCTTGGCCATAATAATGTTTAGGCGTGACGTGTGCTTTTTTACGACCTTGGTATTGTGTTTAGCATACCCAACCTGCGATCACCTTTCAAAGGATGGGATTGACACCGATTGTATAGAATACGTTTCCAGTCCCTTCCTCTCAGAAATCCTCCATAGACTGCTTTACTTAAAACGCGATCTGAGTTGCCTGTAACAAAGAAAAGACTAATGACCTTCTTTATCATGAAATTATGTATATAAAATGGTTGTTTACAAGGCAAAGTAACATGAAACTGCATGTAATATCCCTGTTGGTCTGTTTTTACTTAGTGGATGAGATTTTATGCACAGCTGTGTTGGTGTAGGTGAACCAGGCCTAACCTGTTTGTGCAAAACGTTGTCCAACATGAGTGTTACGCTGAACACATCTTCGTGGAAATACAGGTAAATATCTGAAAACAGTTAGCAAAGCGCTGAGCAATCTCTTGTTCACGCACAATAATAAAAAGGTTTGCCAGTAACACCTACTTAATACTTTTCAGTAGGAGTTTGTCCAAATCGGAAAGTTGATGGCTCATCTATGGGGTTTCAATGAAGCGACACCTACTATATGCGCACATAATGACTTCCTCAGCGAGTAAAGTACTGTTGTCGATGTCTGAGTAATCGAATATGAAACGGTAGAGAATGCGCATGCGGATTTTTTTCTTTTAAATTAGTTCCCGGTCCATAGGAAGGAAATGATAACCGAGATTTATAAGACAATACCCTTAGAGAAAGAAAAAATTCCAAGGTTGGCGACAGTAGCTTGATTACGGGAAACCTAACGTCCAAACGAAGCTGTCCAATGTGTAAAGTGAAACGTCCAACGGTCCTTACCTCATTTTTCGCGTAGATTTCAATGACGCGGCAATCGTTCATCTGTACAAGCGGAAAGAGAACTGACAAATCTGAAATTAACACACAGGAATCTCGCCGCTCAACATCGCCGGAAAGATTTTCACTCTCACCCTCCTCAACAGTCTCCGTAGCTATCTCAAATGAAGACTTCTCCATGGAAGCTAGTGTGGGGTCCACCCTCACCGTCGAACCACCGACATCGTCTTTGCCACCGAAAGCTGCAATGGGAATGTCAGGAAGTGCGATCCATCCCTATACTGTCTTCATGGACCTAACGAAGGCCAACCACATGATGGATCACGATAGACTGGGAAAAATCGTGCAGGCAGTTGGCCCTACTCAACTATTCACGCACATTTTTCGTCAGCCCCACGAGAAGACGATGGTGCGCGTCACGGAAAACGAACCATCGCAGAAGCATTTGATGTAACTAACTGAATAAAGCATCGTTGCGTACTCGCCTCCACCTTCTCAGCCTAATGCTTCTGCCATGCTGGTGGACGCCTACTGTGATGTTCGCTATGAGATAAGCATCGCTTCCAGGACTGACGCCCATCTTCTCGGCAGCCGGCATATGCAGGCCCCAACGTCTCTCCACGACTACTGTTCGGGACATGTTCTTTGCGGACGACAGCGCATTCAACACCGCGGCAGAAGCTGCTATGCGACGGAGCATGGACCTATTTGCTTATGGCTGCGCCAACTTCGGGCTGCCCACCAACACGGCCACCCAACGCTGTTCCCCGCATCCACACCAACGACAACTAACTGAGTACTGTGGACAACTTTGCTTATTCAGTAGCACACTCTCATGACGCATCCAAATCGACGACTATGTGACTCAACAGATCCCAAAAACCATCCACACTTTGAGTCCGCATCACTACGTAGTGTAACATCGCCGCAGTTTTGGCGGCCAATGATGTGAGATCAACTTAAACCACACACAATAATTTCGTTTCGTCTAATGTCAGAAGTTAGGGAGATGTTAGGACAGGTTTATTCTGTAAACAGGGTAGGGTGCCGTGATTTGGCTGTTTGCTTGTGACAAAGCTAAGCCCCCGTTCACGGTGAGCGTCAGTCGCGGCGTTGTTTACGCAGGAGTGAATATCTGTGTCAACAGGACGGTGTGACCGGCTGAGTTTTGGTCATGTGATTGGACGTATCAAGTGAGGCATAGGGGGGGGCATACTCACAAGGCCTCACGGGTAGCAAGCCAGAGCGTAGGACACGCGTGAGGGGATGAAAGTTTATGAGAGCAGCTGGGAGTCACTGCAGTTGGACCGGAGGCGCCCCAGTTCTGGCCTGCGGGGATGGCCGTGTGTCAACGGCTGGCGCGGCCATCGATCGACAAAACGGAGCCAGAGTAAAGAGGGGACATGAAACGGCTGCTACAACTCCCCCCCCCCACCCCAGACACCGAATGAATTGAAGGCGTCGACGTGCTAGCCAGCCACAAACCTGTCGGGCCAGTGGACTGGCGACCAGATCGTGTGAGGCGAACCGGAGGCGGGCTGTCGCCAGCACTTGGAGGAGGCATCACTGTATGCGGCGGGGTGAGGAATGGTCACTGTCTTCGATGTAGGCCGGCTTGACGCGATCAGTGTTGACTGTGTCTGTCTTGCCGTCGCGAACGATGACAACTTCTTTGTCAGATTGACGAAGGACTCTATACGGCCCTTCATAGGGTGGTTTGAGTGGCCGTCAGACAGCGTCATGCCGAACCCTGGCGAAATTGTACGTATCCAGGTCGGGCTGGATGAAGGAATTGACCGGTGACGCCCGAAGAGGCATTGTGCGGAGATTGCGCATGACACTACATAGCCGCTCCACATAACTGCAAGGTTCAAAAAGCGTTAGCGCGTTTAAAGGAGATACTTATTCACCGGGTAGTCATAGGGAAGATCCGTAGAAAAGATCAGCTGCAGTGCAACCGATGTCGGCCTTGATAATGGACGGCGGGACAACATCACCAGGGGAAGATGATCGGACCATCGAGAAGGATCGGTTTGGCCATTAGAGCAGTCTTTAGATGTCGATGGAAACGTTCGACGAGACCATTTGCTTGAGGTTGGTATGTTGTTGTTCGAATTCGGTTGGTACCGAGAAGGGAAGTGAGCTCGCGAAACAAAGTGGACCGAGTTGGGATCCGCAGTCGGTGGTAACAGTCGCAGGAGCTCCAAAATTGGACACCCAGTGAGTCAGAAAAAGCTTTTGCTACTGTTTCGGCACTGATTTCCGGAATGGGTGCAGCAACCGGCCACCGAGTAAGGCGGTCAATGCATGTCAGTATCTGGCAGAACCGTAGGATAGTGGAAGCGGACCTACCAGGTAAGTGTATACATGACTGAGACGTTTATCAGGAGTGGCGAAGGCACTTGGCCGGGTAAGAGCCTGCCGATGAATTGTGGCGCGCTGATACGGTTGACAGGATCGGGTCAAACGCCGTAGAGCCCGGTTGATGCTGGACCAGGCGAATTGGTCAGGGATGAGTTTCACTGTCGCCACGCTCCAGGGTGGGATAGATTGTGAAGAGCGTTGAACACTTGCCGTCGTAAAGTTGCTGGGACAAAAGCACGTTCGTGTCCGGTAGAAAGGTCACAAGTTATGGTGCCAGTGCCAGTGGGAAGAGGGGGGATCTTGAAGACGTAAAGAGGAGTCCTCGTGGCGGTATTGGGAGAGTTCGTCATCCGATCGTTGACCCTCAGCCACGAGCATGAAGTCTATGGCGTCTGCTGTGACGGAGGCTACCTCGATTTTCGATAGAGCATCAGCAACTACACCCTTCTTACCATTTACATGCTAAATGTCACAGGAAAACTGTAAGATGAAATCAAGATGACGCATTTCACGGGGCGAGTACCGATCGGGAGAGGCCCTCAGTGCAAAAACGAGTGGCTTGTGATCCGTTAGAACGACAAATTCCGATCCCTCGAGAAAATGTCGGAAGTGCCCGAGTTCTCGGCCGAAGACACTTTAGCGGGTCTCTGCTGGGCTTACCTTCTTCGAGAAGAAAGCCCGAGGCTGTAGAACACCACCAACAGTTTGCTGAAGTGATGCACCAACGGCAGTGCTGGAAGCATCTGTCGTGAAAGTTAGTTGGGCACCAGCGCGGGGGTGGGCAAGCAGTGTTGCGCGCTCAAGTGCGGCCTTGACGCCATTGAAGGACCTGACGGCCTCCTCGGTCATCACCAGTGTCTTCTTGGAGTGGGTCAACAGACTGTTGAGTGGCTGCAGTATGGTGGCACCATGGGGAAGAAAACGGTGATAGTAGTTCACCATCTCCAAGAATCGGCGTAGTTGGTTGATGGTTTTTAGAACTGAGAACATTGATGTGGCCGAAAACTTTTCATGTACGGGCTTTATCCCCTCAGAGTTCACTTCGTGACCCAGGAAGATTAGGCTGGGGACTCCAAACTCACATTTACCAGTATTGATTACAACGCCGAAAGAGTCAAGTCGTTCGAATAGTTTTCTAAGACGAACTTTGTGTTCACAAGCGTCAGAAATAGCCACCAGCTAATCATCAATGTAGGCGTAGACGAGGTTGAGACCTCGCAGCACCTGATCAATGAACCGCTGAAAGGTTTGAGTGGCGTTCCTCAGACCAGAGGGCATAGGGGTGAATTCGAATAGCCCAACGGGAGTGCTCACTGCAGCTTTCGGCACATCAGCGGCCTCGATTGAAATTTGGTGGTAAGCATGAACCAGGTCAATCTTAGAGAATATCCGTTTACCATGCAGTGAAAGAGTGAAATCTTGGATGTGCAGAACGGGATACTGGTCGACGACAGTCACTGAGTTCAACGCCCGATCGTCACCACACGGTCGCCAGTCGCCGCTCTTCTTTGGGAGAAGATGGAGGGGTAAATCCCAACAGCTGTCGGACCGTCGGACGATGCCGAGCTCAAGAATGCGTTCGAACTCTGCCTTGGAAATCTTCAAACGGTCCGAAGCAAAACGACGTGGTAGGCAAGATTTGGGAGGTCCTGTGGTGAGGTACCTGACTAATTTACCTTTGACAATTTAATCCCATTTTCTTTGACCGCATTGCTTGTTTGAATGTGACGAGAAACCGCACACCTGTACAACCCGCCTTGCTAGCGTGCTCTGCTGTGGTATTCTGTTGTCAGTTTTCTTAACGTTCAAAAATCTCTATATTATTCACTGCTCCGATTTACTTGCTGCCTTTGAGGCTAGGGGCTCGTGAGATATAACTGGTTAGTTCGTGAGAACATTACTACTTACGACATTGGTGACTCCCGACGTTAACGCAGACTTTATACCTTTCTGTCATACTGATTAACATTTAACGTACTATTTGTTTGTGAATATCTATTCCATATACATTTGCTTTCCTCACGAATTCTGATATTTTGCCATCTGTGTCTCACTCCAATCAACAACTTGATGCCCCCGCCCAGTCCCTTCATGCAATCAATTTTACCTTGCCTGAATTCTGGCAACACGCTCCAGTACTTTACTTCATCCGCATAGAATCAGCCTTTTATTCAGCCAACGTAACCAAGGAGCTAGCAAAATACTACAAACTCGTGGAGGTCCTCCCCGATAGGGTCAACTCTCAAGTTCACTCCTTGCTAGCTAATCCTCCTACAGATGCTCATTACTCCACGTTAAAGGCGGAAATCCTCCGACTTAATTCTGTGTCTGACCGACAGAGGTATCACCAGTTAGTTAAGGCGGAGTCACTGGGTGACCGGAAACCTTCAGAGCTCCTACGTCGAATGCGATCTCTCCTTGGAGACATGCAAGTTGACGATAAATTTGTCAAAGAGATGTTCCTAGAGCGTCTGCCCGCAGATGTTCAAACGATCCTGGTGTCTGGCTCTCAAGACCTTACGGTCTCACAGCTGGCTGAGATGGCGGATCGAATGATAGAGGTGCAGCGATTCCAGTCACCTTCCGTTGCCCAGATCTCCTCATCTTCATCGTCAGTGAATGAAAATCTAGTGAAACAGGTGTCGGCCATGGCGGATGAGATGGCCTCCCTTAAAATACAGCTCGCCCGCCTAACATCCAGTCGCTCAAGCAGCCGTCGTCGTTCTCGTTCACGACCTCGGACTGCTGATACTTGCTGGTACCACACTAATTTCGGCGTAAGGGCCCGTCGCTGTTCCTCACCTTGCTCTTTTAAGCCGAAACAGGGAAACCAGTCAGCCAGAGAATAGATGCGACCGTTTTCTCTGGCTCTTCCGGCTCTGGTCGCACCTTCTATGTTTGCGACACTGCGACTCGCAGACGTTTTCTGGTGGACACTGGAGCCCAAATCAGTGTTGTTCCCCCAACTGCAGCTGATCGTCGTTTCCCTAGCCCTGGTCTTTACCTCCAAGCTGCTAACTGTTCCCCCATTCCCACTTTTGGCAGTCTGTCCCTCACCCTGAACATTGGCCTTCGCCGGTCATTCACCTGGATCTTTGTGATTGCTGATGTCCCTCATGCAATCCTCGGCTCGGACTTTCTTGCCGAGTTCGATCTCCTTGTTGACTGTCGACGTGCCCGTCTCCTCGACCGCGCAACCGGGCTGTTTGTTCGTGAAATAACTCCCTTTATTGCCCCCACCAACTTATCTGTCTTGGACACGGATATTGCTAGTCCTTTTCGGCAACTGCTGCTTAGTCACCCCAACATAATTAACCCCCAGTTTCGCAGTGGTGAGGTTCAACATGATGTTGTGCACCATATCCGCACCTCAGGTCCTCCCGTGTTTGCTCGACCGGGACGACTAGCACCGGAGCGTTTTCAGGCCGCGAAGGCGGAGTTTGAGCACATGCTGCAACTGGGAGTAATTCGACCGTCCGAGAGCCCTTGGGCGTCCCCACTGCACATGGTACCCAAGGTGACATCAGGCGACTGGCGACCCTGTGGCGACTATCGTGCCCTCAATAGCGCTACCATTACTGATCGGTACCTCGTGCCTCATCTTCAGGACTTTGCTGGAGCTCTTTTCGGCAAAGCGGTTTTCTCGAAGATTGATCTGGTGCGTGCCTTTCATCAGATTCCAGTCGCCCCTGAGGACATCCCTAAAACCGCCGTCACCACAGCCTTTGGTCTCTTTGAGTTCGTCCGCATGCCGTTCGGTCTACGTAATGCCGCCCAAACGTTCCAGAGGTTCATCGACCATGTCTTAAGTGGACTACCCTTTGTGTACGCCTACATTGATGACGTCTTGGTGGCCAGCCGGAATAAAGAACACAAAGAGCATCTTGCCTTGGTGTTTGACCGTCTTGACAAGTTTGGTGTTGTCATCAACCCCTCGAAGTGCGTGTTGGGTGTGCCTTCGCTCGAGTTCCTTGGTCATCAGGTTGACCCTGAAGGTTTGCGTCCCCTCCCCTCCAAGGTTGAAGTTGTTCGTAATTTTCCTCCTCCAACTTCCAAGCGTCAGTTACAGCGATTCCTCGGCATGCTCAATTTTTACCGTCGGTTCCTACCGAACTGTGCTGACCTCATGTTGCCGCTCACCAACATGCTTTCTGGTCCCAAAGGTCCCCTCGAGCTGACTGGTGAAGCACTGACTGCTTTTGAGAGAATCAAGAATTCCCTTGCCGATGCCAACTTACTCACACATCCCGCTCCCGAAGCTCAGCTGTCCCTGATGGTAGATGCTTCGACCGTAACCGTAGGTGCGATCCTTTTACAACACCTTACTGGTTCGACTCAACCACTTGCCTTTATCTCCAAAAAGCTCTTACCAGCTGAGACACGCTACAGTACCTTTGGCCGTGAACTACTTGCCATTTACCTAACTGTGAAGCATTTCCGGCATTTTCTTGAAGGTCGTGACTTCACTATTTTCACTGACCACAAACCGTTGACTTTTGCACTTCGTTCTCACTCCGACAAGTACAATCCGAGGGAAATCGCCCACCTGGACTACATCGCCCAATTCACCACCGACATCCGCCACATTGATGGCACTAAGAATGAGGTGGCTGATATGTTGTCCAGACCCTCACTGTCTTCCCTTCAACTCTCACACGAGATCGATCTTTGTGCCATGGCGTCTGACCAACAGCGAGTCGGTTGTCCTGGTGACGAGTCTGTTAGTGGTCTCCTACTCAAAGACGTTCCTCTGACCACCGGCTCTGGTACCATACTTTGTGACGTCTCAACTCCCTTTCATCGCCCTTTCGCGCCCGCCTGGATGTGTCAAGCTGTATTTCAAACTTGTATGGACTCTCCCACCCTGGGATCCGAGTCTCTCAAAAGCTCCTCGCGGAAAGGTTTGTCTGGCCTGGCATAAACAAGGACGTCAAGGCTTGGGCCCGGTCGTGTCTGAGCTGCCAGCGCAACAAGGTGCAGCGTCACAACAAGTCCCCACCTGGCACTTTCCCCAGTCCCGACGCGCGGTTCAGCCATGTGCACCTGGATGTCGTAGGCCCCTTCCCTCCATCCAATGGTTTCACCCACCTTCTTACCTGTGTCGATCGATATACCCGCTGGGCTGAAGCTATTCCTTTGCCGAATGTGCAGGCTGAAACCATCGTGAAGGCCTTCGTCAGTCGTTGGGTCGCCATGTTCGGTGCCCCATCCACGGTTACGACAGATCGTGGTGTCCAGTTTGAGTCGGCACTCTTCCAAACGCTACTCAGTTTCCTTGGCTGCACACGCATTCGGACGACAGCCTACCACCCAGCTGCCAACGGTATGGTGGAACGTTTCCATCGTCAGCTAAAGACCGCCCTGCGTGCCGTAGAAGACCCAGGAAACTGGTCGGACAACCTTCCTCTTGCACTCCTCGGTATCCGCGCAGCTCTGAAGTCGGATCTAGGCTGTAGCGCAGCTGAATTGGTTTTCGGCACTACCCTCGGACTGCCAGGCGAGATGATCACTCCAACCTCTCGTGGGGCCGACGAGACTCCTGACAATCTTGTGCACCGTTTGCAGCAATTTATGCGCTCGCTTTCCCCGGTTCCACCTCGAGCTCCAATGACTGAATCTTATGTCGAAAAAGACTTGGGCAACTGTACGCACGTGTTCGTCCGGTGTGACCGTGTGCGCCAGCCGCTGGAATCACCATACGAAGGACCGTTCCGCGTGCTCGCGCGCAACGTCCAGACCTTCCCAATTCTTCCCAGTGACAAGGAGGACGTGGTCAGTGCCGATCGGGTCAAGGCTGCTGTTGCAGAGGAGACGCCGGACCGGTCACTAGGACAAGAATGTGCTGACCCCATAACCCCTGTTCCTCCATCTTCCCTATCCCCTGCTTATTCACCCTGCCCACTGCCTCGCCCTTCCCCTCCCTTGCCCTCCACCCCTCCGTCCCGCATACTTCCTCTCCCTACTTGTCTACAGCATCCAAATGCAACATCATCCTCCACCATAGCACGCAGTCAACCCCTTTTCCACTGCACCTCCTGCTTACATCACCCGCAGTGGCCGTCACGTTCATTTTCCCGATCGTTTAGTTACGCATTGTTTCTAGACTTATGCATATCCTCCGACGCCGTATTACGTCGCCCTCCGGTCTAGAAGGGGGATACCGTGGTGAGGTACCTGACTAATTTACCTTTGACAATTTAATCCCATTTTCTTTGACCGCATTGCTTGTTTGAATGTGACGAGAAACCGTACACCTGTACAACCCGCCTTGCTAGCGTGCTCTGCTGTGGTATTCTGTTGTCAGTTTTCTTAACGTTCAAAAATCTCTATATTATTCACTGCTCCGATTTACTTGCGGTCTTTAAGGCTAGGGGCTCGTGAGATATAACTCGTTAGTTCGTGAGAACATTACTACTTACGACAGTCCAGTGGTGGAAATGTGGTGGGTGACTGTGTGTTTGATGTCTATTTCTCCGGAATGAGATGTTGGTCAGGCGGGGGAACTGCCTGAGGAGTGAATGGAATGGACAGCCTGAGCTGGGCATAACAGTGCGAGGGTTGCCGCAGGGGTTCATATCTGATTGGCAACGGCCAGGAAGGTTGGTGATGCAGTCGACGAGTCTGCGATTCCTCCATTTAACTACTAGATTGAAGTGAGCTAGGAATTCGGCCCCTATGAGGGCGACGGAAACGTCGGCAATAATGAAAGCCATCGGAAAACCCGACGAAGGCCCAAGTCAAGTGTGATAAAGCGATGTCCAAATGTGGGAATGGTGGTGATAGAGTCTATAAAACAAGAGAGCAAGCCCAAACACCCACACGTCAGCTGTTTTCGAAGAATGCTCAACCCGAGGTGGCAATACAGGATCCTGGATATCAGCGTCTTGGAACGAACAGGAGTCCTTAGCATTCACGCTGTGCTGAGGTGACTGTATCTACAATGGATCGGCCACCTCATGAGGATGGGCAGTGGACGAATACCCGAACGACTTCTAAAGATATCTCGCCGCGGGTACCAGCCGGCAATGAAGTCAAACACGCGCTACAAGCAAACTCTAAACAATTCTCTGAAGCTCTTACAAACCAAGCAGAAGACCTTGGAAGTTCCTACACAGAATCCATCGGCAAGGAGAGGGGCAGTGAAAATTCTTGCAATAATTTACAAGGCCAACCGGCTAGCAGCAAATCTCCAGCGTCTCCAATCCACAATGCCAACACCCAACGTCTTCCAATTCGCCCACGCTGACAACACGCGGATCGACCTCGTCGGGCATACCAGGACCTCGTGCAGCAACAACCCAATAACCAAAACTGCTGTTCCAATAAACGTTCCCATCGTCACCACAGCACCATTACACGGCGACTACGAAGACAACCCCATTGTTACCAATTATCTCGCACCCAATGCCGCTCCGCGTCGATCGCAAACGACCCCATCATTCCGACCACAATCCCTAAAAAGCAGTGGAGGCTACTTACCATTCCACTCCCGCTACCCTCGAGAACACCCCCGACATTCTGTCAATCAATACTTCCCCATCCTCGCCACCACCACCAACGGTATCGATTCGGTCCTACTCGTCCTCACAGTGGTCGCCCATTCACCTCGCGCCTCGACCCGATCAGAGACTTTAGAATCCCTTGTCCTGCAACCGACGTACCAATGCCAACAGCCTTCACATACGCTCGCGCATCCGTCTCCACCGTCCACACTGTCCAGGCACATTTACTTAATGCATGGGTCTATTCGGTCATATGCGTATCCACAAAAGCGGAATTTACAACAATATCGACACATCTCTCGTACATTTCACACCCGACGAATCTTCCATCCCAAGTCCTGCCGACTCCTTACCTACCAGGGAGGCCAACACTAACAACGTAACAACTCCAACCAACTAAGCATCGCCCAATCCACCCTACCTTCACTGCCACTGCATACGCGCGTCATTCATAAGTCTGGTTAGTCACTTGGAAATCCATCGCACAGAAACTGACGAACCAGTGCATTCACTACTAACATAAACACGCCACCATCCCTTCAACTGCTTGCATTGCCTTCCCAAATCCAGCCATCGCATAGGTCTACTCGGTTACGTTCATCTTCAAGAACATCTGAGGTAAATCACCGCAAACTAAACCGCACAACCGCAGATCTTGCTATCGACACATGCATTGCACATAGACATCTCCAACATTACACAAGGCAGGCACCTCGCATGCAAGTGAGAAGTTTGTTCTTCTGCTACTTCCCCACGTGACTCTACTAGGCGTGAGAATCCAGCAGTAAACCCCTGTATGCGTATATGGTGTCAGGCCGTGCGCGTTACAGGCAAAGAGGGGTTACTTTTAGCTCTGTCGATCACCTCTTCCAATGTCAGCATCAGTTGGTTGGCCGACTCCAATCCTCGACTTGTGCACGAGGAATGGTAGAGCGAATAAAGTCTACTCTCGGCGCACAATTTCTCAGTATAAAGAATATGACACGCCAGAATCCATCACGCTACCCTTCGTGTCGTGACATGTAAGATGGTTAAATGAAGGGACGATGCGGTCCTTCCTGGAGGGCGGACTGTCAGACTATAACGGCTCCACCTGGATGTGGCCGTTATGTCCCTCTCACCCACCTACGATCTGGACCGCCCTCCTTTTTCTTGTTGCGCAACGCCCTGTCCAGTTTAACGTGGTGGCCAGGGGGTGTGATAGCATGCCTAATTGCCAACTTATGCCGTACTGGCTACCTGCTCTCTCTTTCGCTCGAGGTCCTCTTAACTCGATCATGACCCTGGGGGAGGAAATAGTGCAGTAGATGCCGCGGAAGTCTAGTGTCAATTAAAACTAATTTATCCACAAGTAACCATCATTGCTCACATTCTGCTGGGAGGCAAACGATGCACATGCCAGAAACCGCAGTCGAAAGGTCAAAGTGTAACTAATTATGTTCTTTTGCAATACCATTCAAATACTCTACGGAATACCGCGCCAAAATTTGTCTGTACCCAGCACCTTCGTAATAGATCTCTCTCTCCCATCATTTAATTAAAAATAAAAACCCCTGTTTGATTTTATCCTTGTAGTAATATTTACATCTTCGGCAGATTAACATGATTCTGCTCTAAACAGATTGTTCAAAAATATTTAGTCAAGCTGGATTTAAAGGTATGTCTGAAAACTAACTCAGTTGCAAAAATACGGGATAGATATGTAATGAACCATACAATCTCATTCGAACAGACGACTCTGACGTTGAACGGACAGAATATGTAGATACCTCAATGTGATGCTTTTCATTTAAAAGAAGATTGCTCGTCGCAAATTTTGCACGCAAGTCTGTACACAAGAAGTCAAATCTCAAAGAAAAGATTAGTTATGAATTACCTAATTAAGAATATAAATGATTCTCTTTAGTGCATTTGATTTCTATAATCCTTATTAAAATGGGCATGTGTCTAGAACATAAATACTAAAACAACGGGATAGCTAAACTTCATCCGAGATATCCGGATTTTAACATTGTTTTTTGTTATACTAAAGATTTAAGGGCGTGTAATATCTTTCACGAAACTTGAATGGGTAGGATCTGGAGGCTGCGTTACAGTTATGTTCATTTAAAATATAAAAAATCATGCATATTTTATTTACTGCCCATTTCAGACGCAAGCGTAACGCTTAAGTCAAACTTTAACGCGGAACATAAAGGGTTGGGTCGGGAAAAGGAAATCCTAGCTCGTCTGTCTCGAGGCCTTACAGTAAATGTTCTTGATAAAATCTCCTATAAGCGCAGCAACATTATGAAAACCTCGTTATAAGATCACGTTTATCCTCAAAGTTACGCGTCCGTTTATGCCTCATTAATCAACTCGTTGGTTTTCCACATCTATTGACCCTGTTTTTATTATTCGCCAAAATGGTTTGATATAGTTTGGAATCTGTTCGAGGCAAAATCAGACGTCCATTTTATCCTTAACTGACAGATTAATACAACATAAGAAAAACCTCGACAGTATGAAAAAACACCTATGTAGAAGTGGTCATTTACAAAGCTTCAGCGCACGACGATGCAAGCAGACAAAGGAGGAAATAGAGTTCTATGTTCTGTAAACCGCTATTCATTTCGGGATTTGTTTTTTTCTCGGTAATTATTAGACACAAGTAACTTATCAAAAGAGCAAAGTTATTCCACATATAAATAAAAGTCAGAGTATGAAGGTTATGTAACACAGTTTTATTCACTGTGATTTCGTAAACGCGGGCTTTGCTATTTACATACAAACTCTAATCTACTGGAACTGATTATAAAATGTAGTGCGCCACAAAAGCCAAGATAAATGTTTGCCTTCTGGCATCCGTTCTCTACGCCGAAGAAAACGTTAAAATCAGGAAGACAAGATAATAAATAATTTTATAAACAAGTTAAAGGCAACAATTGTTATAGGGAGCAACTTCCATGACGGGCTCCGTAAAAGTAAAGGGACTCTTAGAGACATTAAAAATATTTTTTCAAAAAGTCTAGGTTACTTTATATTTTTAAGGCATTTACTTCCACAAGATAAATAACGGAGCAAAATAGTGTTCGCCGTTGCAAATTGTAACTAAATTAAAGTAACATTAAGGAGACCTTTCCATATGTTCTGGTTTTAATAACACACAATGAAAATGGATAGAGTGCTTTTAACTCAACTGATAACACAGTTACTCTTATCATTAAAGGTCCTACCAATTAGAGTTTTATTGAAATGTTCAGCAAAGTGACATCTATGGTACCCTCTTAACGCAAGTGTCAGGTATCCCACACGGAATGGCTGAATCCCTTATAGAATTTATAATCATGCAAAATTCTGTCACCCGCTTGTGCTGCATGAAATTATGTGTTCTAGTATGTCCCAACTAAACAAAGCCCGACGAACCTCCAAACATATTTTATATGTTTTTTAGACAACTGCTATAAGTCATAAAATGGATTAAATTTGGGCAATGCTTCCAAAGCTTCATAAAGCATTAATAAGTACGTTTAGGCCATATACAGCTGCACAGGGTCCGTTACGTTCGCTTGCCTGATTTTGTGTCGATAGCAAAGTCTTTTAACCAAACGTTTTGTGAATTCACCCTCCTGGGAATATTATTTCATCACTGATGTTGTTTCTGTTTTGCATCTCTGCGTAGTAAAAAAAACATCAGTAGTACCACGTAAAAACGATAAAATTAAATGTCCAAAATAATGGATGACTCATTGATGCATAAGCTATGTTTATGTCAGACCAAAAACGAATTGAGTTTAAGGTTAATAAGGCAGCAAGTGCGACCTCCACAAAATTAATGAGCTAAAGGAAGGTTTGCAGTTCACATATTGGTGGTTTTGTTGGCCCAGTAAACGCCAAACCGTTTGATTTACTTTTTGATTAAAAGATACTATGACACTTAAGCTCAAACCCGTTCTTCTGACTATAAGCTATCGATAAAAACGCAAAGTATTAGTCAATATACCGGTTCCTCTATGCTTTAGCAAACACCGAAATTACTAGTAAGCGTTTGATGCGAAACCGTCCGTAGTGATTTTGAAGTAGGATAAATTACGAATCTGTCGGCTATCGGCAGCATTCAGTTATTTTTATTTTGTTGGTGAACGTTCCATTAAGGATTGCTTTACATTGTAATTGATACAATAGACCTTCATAATGGCTTGCTAGAAGAAAACGTGCCTTTATTTGTTGAATTATTTTCCATTAGAAGTAATGGAAACGGGCTTTCTTTAAACAATGTCTATTGACATACTATCTTAAGTTGAATGTTATAAAAAGAGTTCATATCGCAGACTGAATTGCTCTGAAGTAATTATGATCTTCTGTGGTTTTCAGCATGTCTGCTGGTCTTCCCCTTTGTCTTTCATTCACGTTTTGTCCACTTTGCAAAAATAATATTTTTTAAAGTCTCTTTGAAGGACGGACGGTCAGAGTGTAGCGGTCGAATGTTGAAGCCGGCCAACTAACTGACTTAAAAAAAATTATGCTCTGCAAAGTGAACATAAAGTGGATAAGGAGGCATAAGAGCAAGGAGGGTGCGTGAACATATGCCCGCCTGGGTAGACAGAGGTGAGACCCGATCGGTTTCGAGCTCTATTCTCGCACATTTACTCGATAAGGATCACCGTGTCGATGCCAAGAAAGCATTTCAGGTTGTCTATCGGACAGTAACAAGCTTCTCTAAAGGCCTACGTCAACGGATACTAGCAACGGCCGAGGCAGTGGCTATACGGCTGGCGAATCCAGTGCTATGCTGTCAGAAAACGCTGACACAAGCGCTCTCCCTGCCGTGGCCAACGCCAACCTCACGTGTTGACGACATGCCGCCTCAAATCCCTGATTACAGTGATGGTTACTTCGTGTACTTAATCGAAGAACATCACTCAAAGACTCGCCTACTCCCCTCTCCCAGCTCGAAGGGCCAAAACCCGCCGACCTCGTTATGCGGGCGGCGTGGAGAGGATGAGTGCAAATGACTTTATTGCCCTTACGACACCTATAAACACTGTTAACTTTGTACATTTTCACCCCTTCATGTAATTGTATTGGCCTGACGAAGAATTACCGAAAACGCGTGTTAGCCAACTTGACTTTTCAATTGTAACATGGGAATATTCGCTAAACTTAATCATGTCGCCAAGTTGCAATAACGATTAATATTTACCCATCACAGTGGGACTATTTGCGCTATTACTCTTTTTACTGGATATTATAGGTCATTGGACATTAAAATAGGGCGCGGAATCGCATGAGATGTCAGCCGGCAGCAAATGTTAGGAGCACTATGGCTATAAATATATTGTGGAATGTGACGGTACTGTTTATTCTGCAGTTGAGGACAGTTTGACACTCGTATA